CGCGAACTGAAAACGATCAGTGATCAGCAAATAACCTCCCTCGTTCCAACTTTTCTTGGAGAGGTTAACAAGATTCAAACCGAGTTTCTCGCCAGGACTTGGGAATGCGGGATAGCACACAATGAGCTTGTAAAGTAAGGTGATGAGGATCAACGTTCTGAGCATGATCAGTTGAAATCTTATAGATATGCTTTCCAACATGCTTAATCAAGAGTTATCACTGCAGGAACTATAGGCTTCTTTTCACCCTAAAAAGATGCTCATTTGCGATCACTCTACATGATGATAAGGTGAAAGTTACCTTAGTTACCACCATTTTAGATGAGCAAGTGCTAGATACTTCTGGAGCGCGGTTAAGGTTCTTCGTGCAGACCTACAATACATTTGATTACTGCTTACGTTTTGCGTATTCTTGTTAGTTCCACATAATCAAACAACTGCAAATCGTACAGATAAAATCAACGCTTAACTTCAATTCGCCGCACTATCTTTTCAAATTGAGCAAAGCTCATAGTTCAACATGTCTAAGTCAACCGTATATATGCAACAAATTTCAATACAGGCTTTTTAAATGGTTATAAAGATTTTAAAAAACGTAACGATTAATAGATTGCCTAGCGAAATTCAAACCTGATGATTTCCTCTGCTGCTACTACTCGATGGATTTTTAGCCCATAATTTAGCACACATCGGGCAATCCTTGAATGCAAAAGTAATCTATTTAGGAAGAAAAAAACTTGAAAGAATACAAAAGCATCTTACAGGCTTGTACTCTACGAAATCAGTAGCCAAAGAGTTCGCCATAGGCGGTTTCGACTCCGTTTGCGCAACCTGCTGCCGTTGGTTGGATACCAGCATTGGACTTATGCCGATAGAGCCTGATGTGGTAGGCGCTTTGCTATATATAGAATGGACAGAAGTTCCAGGGACTGCTTGAGATGATGTTGAGGGTCCATATCCGGCTAGAGCACTAGGATCCATTTCTTTCCATGTTGTGTGTTCCACATCATCATGCTCTCTATAAAAGTTGTTACGGATGTAGGAATGTGAGCTCTCCCGCATTATGAAAGCTTTACCTACCTCTTCACTCCCCCTAAAACGTTCTTCGAAAC